CCCCCCCCCAAACAACACATTCTGAATCAGAACCTACCCTCGGATTTGCCGTATCTTTTACTGTTTCGGCCCTAGAGGTGGATATATTGAAAACATAGCAGAAAGTCAAGTTTTAGGACTGTTTGACAAACAATATACAATCTAAAAACTGCGCTGGTTCACCTTTTTTATTAATTCTTGAGCAAAGCAGAAGGGTGGGGTGTAATCACGGTGTTGCCCTGTTACAGTCTCTTGTCATGCCCAGGGGGAAAATTTGTAGGGCCGCAGGCCCCCCGCCGGACGCTTTAGTTTACTCAAATATGCAAAGTGATTTACCGGTCACTTTATATATTTGATTATGCACTTCAGTAAATCGCGAGACTGGAATGGTCGGGCCGAAGGCCCGACCATCGCCGCCGGCACGCCAAGCAGGCCCGGCCCCTGCCGAACGGAGTTACCGATGGAGCGAAGCGGAGCTGGCAACTCCGTTTGGCGGAAGGGCGGGCCTGCTTGTTATGATACAAAACGACCATGAAATTCCCAGGTCGCTATCTCAATTCCTTTCCGAGTTAACGTGCCTTTTTGAGTCAGTGGAGTAAATCGGCTTCGCAAATCTCTCAGCCAGAAGGGTCTCATACGAAATATTCGTGACAAATTTCTATGGGGCAATAGTGAAATTCAATACTTGGAGCAGTATAGTTTTTTGGGAGTCGGTTCTGGCCCCCTTTTACCCGCCCAGTAAAAACTTTAATGTAGGGTAATTCCCACCACCCGCCGCACCTCCGCTCGCCCGCGCCTATCACCGCTCTGTGTGTTTGCTTTTGTTTTTAGCCCGCCCTTCTGCTTTTAAAAAAGCATTAAAGCGGGCTTATGCAACCGCTCTCGTGTCTGTCTGTCTGTCCGTCGTCCGTGTAAGAGAAAGGAGATGAGCTAGAGGTCTACAAATTTCAGGGTATCTTAGGGGTCACTCCTGGACAACGAAACGCCTCGTGCAAATCCTGGCAACCACCCCTAAGGGGGTAAAAGGGGGTAACAAAAAGATAGGGGTTGGTCCAAAAAGTAGAAAATCAAATATTTTTTTATAGTCTCCTAAGGGGTAACTCGTGAAAGTAGAACCCTGTGGGCGAAAATTTTGTCTGTTTGACAATATCTTGCACCGTTTGGGCGCTAGAGTGCTTTTTTCGACGAAAATACAGCGAAAATGACCACGTTGCACATAAAGACGTACAAGGAGGCGTCCAATCGTAAAATGTCAGAGGGAGTACCCCCCCAAAACAACACATTCTGAATCAGGAACTACCCTCGGATTTGCCGTATCTTTTACTGTTTCGGCCCGAGAGGTGGATATATTGAAACCAATAGCAGAAAGTCACGTTTTAGGACTGTTTGACAAACTATATACAATCTAGAAACTGCGTGGGTTAATATTTCGTAAGCAAAGCAGAAGGGTAGGGTGTAGTCACGGTGTTGCCCCGTTACAGTCTTTTGTCATGTCCAAGGAGCAAATTTCTAGCGCCGCAGGCCCACCACAGGACGCTGTATTTTTACTCAATATGCAAAGTGATTTACCGGTCACATTATTTATTTGATGATGCACTTCAGTAAATCGTGAGACTGAAATGGTCGGGCCGAAGGCCCGACCATCGCCGCCGGCAGGCCAAGCAGGCCCGGCCCCTGCCGAACGGAGTTGCCGGCGCAGCGAAGTGGAGCTGGCAACTCCGTTTGGCGGAAGGGCGGGCCTGCTTGTTCTTATTTCCGCTCCGCGCTTGAGAGGAGTACCCCATTCAAGTGTCCTACATATATATTTTACTTACAGGTGAAGTATGCAAGGGCAGGGACAACGGAGCTTCTTGTCGGATCCAACAAGTCAATTTTGAGCAAAAACCGCAGAGGGGTCATCAAAGGTAAAGGCTTGCGTATTAAGAATGCTAATAATGTCATCATAAAAGACATCACCATTACTGACATCAACCCTGGAGTCATTTGGGCGGGGGACGCTCTCGCACTTGACAATGTGCAAAACGTGTGGATACATCGCGTAACTTTCAGGGTGAGTTGATGTTTAAAAAACTTGTGGCTCGCAATTGAAAGCAATTTTACCGTGAGGGTTTGAGAAAACCCCGAACCACGTTAACTTAAATTTTGGATAAAGAATCGATTCCCGGTCGGCGCTTGAGCAATCTATGAAACAAAAATTTTGAAGCTGAACAGAGATGAGAGAAGGTCGCCCTCGAGTCCCAGTTTCTTTTCTGATAGAACCCGCCTGGTGGACTTTCAGGGGGCAGACCTGCCAAATACTGTAAAATGCAAAGGTTCGGGAGATTATCTGTTTTGAGAAAACTACCAATCGCAGTGACATGAACGGAACACTCTATTAGTGAGATTATAACTCCAATTTGAGTATGCTAAAGTTGTGTTCTTCTACGGAAACATGATCTTCTTTGCCTTGAAAAAGACAGGTACACCTCTTTGTGGCGTGCGCAATTCGAAACGAACGGATCGACCAACGACATTGAAAAACATTGTCATTTACTTTTATAAGATGCCTGTGTAGCGTGACCAGAGCGATTTTCGATGAGCCAATGTTAAAGTATAAAAACTGGTGGAAACGTCAATTTTCAACCGAATTTTTATACCAAAACTTGTTTATAAATGTGGAAAAAAAAATTCCAAATTGCTCTAGTCACGCTTTTAAAAGTAAATGGCACTTTCTTTTACTGTCACGGCCCATCGGTTCGGCCGGAATCGTGCACGCCACCAAGTAGTGTACCCATCTGGTTTTTACCAAAGAAAACCATGTTCCCGAAGGGTTCCACTCTTCTACTATATTCCAAATCGTATCCCAATTCGGTTTTTCGTATGTTTCCCCGTGATTGGCAGTTTTTGTTTAATAAATGATCTTCCGAACCCTTGCATTACACAGGTCTTCCCCTATAACAGCACCCTGACACCGCTGCCGTATTTGTGGCAGAACGAACTCGAGGTCGGTCATGGATGAAGAATGTTCGAACGAATAGGAATGTGTATACTGTGATACTGTTTGAGAACCTGAAAGCAAGCTAGAGCACTTTAATCCCTCTCCAAGGGGCGCGGACTGGCCTCGGGCGCGGCTGGATCACGGGTTCCCTCGCCTCCACGCACTGACGCGTGCTAACCGCAACCGGCAGTCAGGGGAAGAGGGGTGCCCACCGCGCCGCCCGAGACAACCTGCCGCGCCCAAAGCCGGCCGAAGAGAATTTAAAATTATGAGGGCAGCTCCTCTATTTTCAAACATCATGACAAAGCACGTCGTCTACTTCTTTCGAATGCGCTGAATCCGTAACTGACCTCGAAAACCTTCTGCAACCGGCATCAGGGTAGTGGAAATGTCCACCTTGCAGGTTCCTAAGAAAGGGGAAGATGATGCGACGCCAAGGCACCCTTCTGTCGTCACTAGTGTTAGTCTCGAAACAGGCGGCTGAACTGCGTAGTCTTTGCGGAACTTGCGACTAAACTGCGTGCCTTTCAGTCCAAGGTGTCGTCAAAACTACCCGTGGAAGAGGGACGCCTTGGCCGAGCACTGTCAAAATATTGATTTTTGATTCTGGTGCATGTACGTAATAAAGTCCATGACTTTTCCAGAGGGTCGGCCGCCAGCATCTTGTCACTTACCAGAAAACAAACAAAGGGATCACAGTCTCCTCTTGTCTTTTCGATGGCACCACTACCAATGCTGCCTACTGCGACAAGGAACACTACTGGGTGTGGCTCTTCTGGGGCACACATGACGAGATTACGTTGATTAACAATCAGATTGTTAATTCCGCGGGGAGACTGCCGCACGCTGGTGGATGGTCAAAGTCCTGGGTAAGTTTCAAAGCAATTAAAAATGTGAAATGTTATATTTCAGAAAGATCCTTTGGGAAATCGTGTCTTACGGTCTGTCATTTTACTTTCCATTTAGAACTTAATTCACCTAATTGGCAACGAATTTGTAACTAACCGCCACACTGGAATAGAACCAAGGCTTGGAGGTCAAATTCTTGCAGAAGGCAACAAATTCATCAACTTTAGATACGTAAGTTTATACCCTTACTCATACTTTATTACTCTCATGAGACCAAAAGTAAATCCTTAAATTTTCACGACCTTTGCAGCCAGTAAATCCAAACTCCAAGGGTGGTCACTTGGCCCTACCCAACGATGGAAACGCTGCTAACAAATGTAAGAGGTACTTTGGCCAGAACTGTCTGGTAAACAAATACCAGAACTCTCCTGCTCCTAGTAGGTTCGACGAAGTTGTCCTCAACTACTTCAGTAAGCTGGACAGAGTTGCCATCAACGGTGCACGGGCGGCCGCATGCGAACGATGAGCAATCAATCAGGGACACTCATTAAAGACTGAAAAGCGATTACTTAACTGTGTATTTTATTTTCGAACGATGGCCAATGGCGTAATCCAAAGAAACGTCTATATAAAATATACTCATATCCATTTCATACGGGTAGAAATATACTATCTACACCCCTAAGCAAGGCAAGATCACGTCCTGCATGCGTAACAGGCTTCGCAATGTCCCAGGAAACACTGTTAACTGGCTAAGATTCCCATGAGGATAGCCATGGCCACGCGTTTGCCATGGCCGCCCATGGCTACGCATGGCCATGGGACAAAGGACCATGGCCAAATGCTCATGGCCATTTTTGGCCATTGGTGCTAGTGGCCATGACAATCCATACAAAATATGGCCACTATGGCCACGTCATGTGGATCTTGGCCACAGTAAGAAGCAGCGGCAATCTCCACTTTATATTAAAAATTGTAAAGTAAGTCTTAAGTTAAAGGTCATATATGAGCCAGCCTAGATAAACTGGATATGTAATCGGGGTGCCCAAACCGAGGCGGAGCCGAATCCGGTGTCTGTTTTGGCCTAGCTCAAGCCGTTTACAAGTTGCAGGAAAAAAGATTTTCGATTTTAATGAAATTAAAATGGCCCTTCTAAAATACAAGGAAGTAGCTACAAACCAAATTTCAGGTCAAAATTCCAAGAAATAAAGTTTTTTATCGAATGTTGAAATTTTATGGCCACTAAGGCCATGGCCACTATTACATGCCATGACCACTGCTCCCATGGCCACCCATGGCTAGAGGAAGGCCATGGACAAGCTTACCATGGCCAACGAGGTGGCCATAGGAAACTCTATTGGCCATGGTAAGTGTGATGGTAAATCATTTTGCGTGGCCATAGACACCATGGGAATCTTAGCCTGGTACTGTAAACCGGGGTAACTTTGGCCCACCAAACTTTCACCTTCTGTATATTAGAAACAGGTGGTACTGAAACAAGCACACACCGGCAACTTCGTTCGGCAGGGCCCGGGCCTGCTTGGCCTGCCGGCGGCGATGGTCGGGACTTCGGCCCTACCATTTCAGTCTCGTGATTTACTGAAGAACATAATTAAATAGAAAATGTGACCGGTACATCACTTGCATATTTGAGTAAACTAACTTCCGACGAGGGGCCTGCGGCACTACAGATTTGCTCCTTTCACATGACAAGAGACTGTAAGGGGGCAACACCGTGACTACACCCCACCCTTCTGCTTTGCTTAAAAAAATACAAAAAAACTAACCAACGCAGTTTTTAGATTGAATTGTTTGTCAGACAGTCTTAAAACTTGACTTTTCCCCATTGTTTTCAATGTATCCCCGTCTAGGGCCGAAACAGTGAAAGATACGGCAAATCCGAGGATAGGACTTGTTTCAGAATGTGTTGTTTTGGGGGGGGTTCTTCCTCTGACTTTTTACGATAGGACGCCTCCTTGTACGTCTTATGTGCAACGTGGTCATTTTCGCCGTATTTTCGTCGAAAAATGCACTCTTGCATCCAAACGGTTCAAGATAGAGTCAAACGGACAAAATTTTCGTCCAACGGGGCTCTACTTTCACAAGGTACCCCTTAGGGGACCATAAAAAATATTTTTTTCCTACTTTTAGACCAACCTCTATTTCTTTGTTATCCCCTTTCACCCCCTTAGGGTTGGTTGCTAGGATTTGCACCAGGCGTTTCGTTGTCCAGGAGTGACCCCTAAGATACCCTGAAATTTGTAGACCTCTAGCTCATCTCCTTCCTCTTACACGGACCTAGAAAGGATAGCTTAAATGGAGTACGTACTGCAGCGCCCGTGACCCCCCTCCTCAGAGTGCTCGGCACTCTCTGCAGGCTCTGCTATAGTGCCGATTACAGAAAATTTGGTATCGACGAAATCGGAGAGGTGTGGGCTAGTTGACGACAGAATTGAACAAAACTCACCGGGCTGGGGCGTAGAGGGGCCTAAATGAGCGGCGCCGAAGCTGTCCGCATCCGCTGCTGGAGCTGGCTACCTGCGCGGCGGGGCTGCCGGGTCGGGCGGGCGGGCAGGAGTGGAGCGAGGCGCTTCCCGGAACCGGCCGGCTACGGCCGGCTAGTGTGATTTTCGGCGGGTCCAAATTTGGTCCGTCCGAGCTCAAATATTGAACAGCTTCGTAAGGAAATGAACAGAGGACTTCAAGACGTTCCAAATGATTCCCAACGCCACCCCAATATTCAAATTTTGCTTGTTATCCAGGTATTATTGCCGTGAACTAGACGAGAGGAACACTTCAAATCCAATTGAAATGATTCAAATCGCCACTCTACTCGTTTGGTTTACGGCAATAGCGAACATATCCTATTACGTCGATAACAACCACCCGATTTTTCGATTTCAGTGTCACTTTTTAAAATGCCTCTAACGATATTGCCTTTAACCAAAATATATGATTCCCAAGGAAAAAAGGTGCCTCTAACAAAATTTCCTCTAACCAAAAATTTCGAAAAAGCGGGTGCACTAATAAATAATGCCTCTAAAAACAAAATGTGCTCTGCAGCCACAAAGGGGTGCCTGAGAGCATGAAAAAAGGAGCTGTCAGTGTCAAACGCCGCAGCACTGTAAAAAAATATCGTCGTAAATTTACAAATTTTTTGTAAACTCGAATTTTGATTTAAGTTGTCAGTTTACGAGAGCACGTTTTTTTACTCGCCAATAGATTTGAAGTCGGTACATACTGCATGTGTTTTTACGATTCCAAATTGTAATTTTACAAGTGGCGTGAAGAAAAAATTCCCTATAAACCTACCTACTATTTTTCACAGTGAGTAGAAACATGAGTGAAACAACTCCAAGAGTACACTCACGCGCACGCGCGCGCACACACACACACACACACACACACACTTGCGCTACGAGTAGGTCTATGCTGTAGTTGACGGCCAAGCGGACCTTGGAGTTTACCTGTGGGTAGGCAATAGGCAATCGCGTGGCTCGTGCGCGGTGTGCGGGCTTGCCTACGCTACAATTTGCAGGCGTGCGGTGAAAGACTGAACCTAGAAGTCTGCCTGAGGGTAGGCAGCCGCGTGGCTCGTGCGTGGTGTGCTGGCTTACCTACGCTATAGCTCGCGGGTGCGCATGCTGACCTTCTCCTGAACAGACCCCTCCTCACTCCGCGTCCGCGTTACTCGCTCGCCGCCTGCTGCTGCGACGTGCCCCACCGTCTCCCCACGATATATATA